ATTTCTGTCGTGGGTAGGAAGGGCGTGTCCGTACCAGCGAACGTTATGGTGTAATCCATTTGGGAGTTAGTTCATTGGGAGGCGCCAAAGTGTGTCAGCTTCAGACGAAGGGACAAGCTAGTCTCTCGTTGGCCGGGTTTGGGTACTTTGGTTGGCAATGTTCAGCTAGCAGCGTCGGCTTTATGCATAGATGGTGTTTCAGCGAGTTGCCGTCCTAGTCCCAGGATAAAATTTGGATAATTTGTTCGGTTCTTCCAAATTGGCGAACTGGCCCCGAGTTTCTCATCCAGGAAGTTACTTCTCTTCCATAGACTATTGGTTTCCTGGAACTTCATGGTCTCCAAAGCAAGCCTTTCGGTTACCGAACATTGGTTTTGGTTTTGAACCATTTACGTCATTCCATCTGGACCACCATCGTCTGGATTATTTATTTCAATTTTGCGGGATCAGTCGGGTAATAACAGACTACGTAGGATCAGTAGTTTAACTGGGCTTCGCTTATGAAGAGCATTGGACGCGACTAGTTTGTCCTGGCGAAGTTGCATGGCTGTCTTTGCAGTCACTAACTATACTTAGACAAACGTTGTACGCGACCAAATGACATTTTATTAAGACAAGAAATTGCAGGCTGAACTCTATATACCACAGGTAAATAGCAGACATTGGAATTTTCTAATGGATCTATTCTTCACTCTGGTGCAACTTATTAGGCTGGGTTCCGGGCCGCATAAGTTCATCAATATCTTCCTAATCGTGTGAACTTTAAAGCTGTCTGGCACACCATGAACGACTATCTCTGTAACTATTTTAGCCGTCCCAGGACCTCGGTACCAAGTATATTGAGGAGCCTCCCGGCAATCGCTGCATATGTTTCACCACTTAAGTTTCCGGGTTGTACCAGGTTTGCAATAACCACTAAACACTCGGAAGGTGGCTGTAACATGTAATAGTCTAGTGTCATGTTCGATAACTCATCGTGCAATGCCGCTCTTTGTAATCGCTTTGAAGAAAGCACATCCACCACGTTAACGAGGTAAGACAAAATCGTACCACACGATGTTTTGCTTTCTTTTTTAACCGTTTTATTTACATTCTGTAACTCGAGTTTACTACTTTTACCATGATGGTTTTAAGGTACAGCTGCGAATCAGGTCTCAAAGAAGAGTAATAATAAAGAATGGGGTAACCAAAACTTTGGTGGTAAAGGCCGGGCCAAGGCAATTAGGGATGGTTGGCAAGGTGAAGTACAGCAGGGTAGAATGAAAGCTTTCTGCGGGCAAACTGCGGGCTAGGCGAGAATTACCAACCTGTAAGATCCCACAAAGTTACTCCAAGTAGAGAGCTTAACAAACCAACCTGTCGACGTGGACTTGAGAGTACCACTCAGCAATGCGACCACAAGAAGTTGCTTTGCTTGTTTCCGGACTGGCAAACATGGAAAAGTCCTTCCTTTGCTGTTGACAACAGAATAGCATATTTTGGGTGTTAGTAGAGCGCCTGACACCTTCCGCTTTTCTCGGCCTGGTGAAATGGTCGCATAATAGCATGCGAACGGGTTCCGTTGCCCTAACTCTTTTCCAACAACTGATCGTTGGCTAGTTAAATATAAACACTCGGAGGTCTAAATGATTCTACTGCTATTGACGAAGTATTGCATGCCACCTTACCAGCAAAATGTAAGCGGTGCAAGAGAATATAAGCTTTAAGCTTACAGCTTGCGGTATTAACGGCCGGTGTTTTATACGTAAACCTAATTTTACTAACGGTTGCCTTTCAACACCGGACGTGCACAATACTCTTCTGTTTTTCGCTTTTAAACGCAAGTGTTTTAGGTTCCACATCAAACCTGACCTCACATTGGTTGCTAGGTTGAAACTGAAATTCGCCATAAATGCTCTAAAAGCCTGTTGATTGGTGTGTATTCGGATGGTGAGGCGGAGGTCAAATTCCTCCCCACCAGATCTCGTACGGTTGGCACCCGACCCCTGGCTCACGATCCCAAATTCCTTAGTGTAGTTCTCAGCCATTTGATCAGTACCGTTTATGGGTCTGAACAATTTCGATCCAAACATTAACAATTTCGAAACGACTGAAAAAGTTCATCCCCCTGCAATCGTTCAACTTACTTGCCATCCCATGGCGTTATGCACCGTCCACCACGCCAGTGGATTATTCCTTCCTGCTATTAGAATCCGCATCTAATTGGCGCCATTATACAATGGACACTTTACTCATCCTCCCAAAGTGGTATGCGGGTTTTATACCTTTCGGAGGTTTATTGGCCGCGGTCTGCACTACCGCGCTCGGTGCGCCTGATTCCAAAGATAGCGGTGAGCTCCTTGACCGTTCAAAACATTCTCACCATGCAAGCGTCCCAAGTAGCTGAGATGGATATCGCTCGTGGACCTGCCAGCGACACCCACCAAGCCCGTGGGTCAGTTACTCGGACAATTATACAGCTTACGATTTAAGTTCCATCTTCACCGCTTAACGCAGCATCCTAATTTACCCAACCCAGCTCCGAAAAGTACCGCCGTCTTCCACAGTTATGGTGAAGTCTGGCTAATCCTTCCGCTGAGCCAACGGAATATCGGGTGACCATGACTGTCAGTAAACGTACAGAAAATCGGTCCCGCAAAAGCGCTAGAAGTATCTCAATGTTTTGTACCTTGTGATCAATGGCCGTGTTCCAGGACGTGGTGGGTTTTCGTCTGGCAAGTGTTCTCCCTATAAAAAGCCAAAAATGTCTGCTTAACGACACTGCGACTTGGCGGATGCGAATCGCCACCGAACTAAACTCACTGCCCACTGTTTCACATGAGGATGATCGCAATATCCTGTAACCGTGTGCACAGGGTGTTTGTCAAACACTCCATCCGACTCATAGGCAAACGGAGAAACCGAGCACGACGGAACCATTCGAACTCCTACCCAGCATTTCCGTAACAGGAAAACCTCGTTATCTTACGGTGTTTCGGCACCACCTTTCTCTTTGACATCAATGAGCATGCCCTACCTTCTTGTGTCATTCCTAGGAAAACCTATGTGCAATTTCGAGCCATGTGTTTGACCGAAACGCATTTCTGTCGTGTGGTGTACGCACGCTTTCTTAGTTTTTGTGGCTGTCAACCGCCTGAACGCGCCTGTACTGACGGGTCCTTTTCGACGCGAACGTACTTACTTATTAATTTATTTATCTCTACATCCCGCATTTAGTAAAGATGGGCTTCATACAATCTTTGGACCATGTAGACCTACAATACTGACTCCAGCTGTACTACTATCGCGCTTGCTCCTGCTATCTATAAAACCGTGTACGTTACTGCAATATGCGTATCACGCTCAAAAGGACTGTCGCACTTTGTCGAGAACAAAATGTGTATTGATTTATTTTTGCATTCATTTACGCGTAGTCGGAGTAACCAGAGGTACGAGGTTGGCATCCTTGCAGAAATTTTCCGGCCGGACGAATTTGCTTTTACTGAGAAGTGCCAGTTATCCGACATCCTGGACAGTAAATTGTTTTTGGTTAGCTACACCTGCTGCGAGTTGACCGTGTTTCATACCGTCGCAGAGATACTTTCTCTTTGTACCTCAGGTCTGCCTTGACTATTTCACGTACATATATGTTCAGTTCCTTTGATGTAATTTCTGAGGATCTTTCGGTGGATGTGTGCAACACTTGCACGAAATATAAAATTGCTTCAGTATACAGCAGCCCCAAAAGTGTGCCAAGTATGCTGACTTATTGCATTCGTAATCATGCGACAAATATGTGTCTGGTTTTTGGTGATTTTATTGTTCCTGAGGTTGATAAGAGAAATTTTGCTACACAGCAGCACCAGGATATTTTTCACTGACCTTAGCCTTTCTTTACAAACACACCCTTTACCGTTTTGCACAAAGGCTAAAGAGCTCTACGAAGGAGCAAAATCCTTCTTTTTTGCACCGCTTTCGCAAACGATGGATTTTGTACAAGCTGTATTTTACAATTCCCCTTGGGCTCCAGAGATCACATGTGCGTATTAATCCATGGCTCATTAATTCGGGACCGTACATAATTATCGTACTAAGAGGCCACCAATTTAACGCGTTGATTTTAAAGCCAGCAGCGACAATGCTGCAACTCGCCATTTCATCATTTCAGAGGCTGATACAGCCCAGGTCGTTAGGAATAAATTCAAGTCTTTGCTTTGTGAGAAATAAATAAATAAATGGTTTATTCTAGACGGTAGGTGCCAGGTTGTTAAGGCATCATCATCATCATACACGTTAGCTAGAGGTGGGGAACACCTCAGCTGCTGTGCCGCAATACAGAAAAAGGAGAAAAAGCACCTGGTGCAAGCCGGCTGAGCTACCGGTAACGGATGGGCATCGTTCTGGTAGGCTACCAGCCGGCTACTGTGCATCAAAAAAGTTGCTATGCAAATTTATATAAGGCTAAATGATGAGATCGTGGTTGGATGGGAGGCTAAGGGGGATGGGGTGGGACAAATAAACTCACAACGGGAAAGCCAGTGAGTTTGGCTCTTTGCCATGTCAACAAGTGTGTCCAACCAAACGTGTTCATCGTCTTTCGGACCCCAACCAGGGAGCTGAGACGCCCCATCCGAGGCCAGCTCAGACGTGAGGGTCTTCATTCCTCTGGACCAAGTCATCGCTTGGTCACCCCAACTCTTCTTCCATACATACCCACGGCTCGCAGAAAACGCACGTCGCGGGTGCCGGTGGGCTAGCCTGCTTAACACGTGACCGAGCCATCGGAGCCTGATGCGTGAAATAACGGTGCTGAGCGGTTCAGTTCCTTTTCCTGTGTCATAAACAAGGCGTTTAACACGCTCGTTGCTCACGCGGTGTTCCCACTAGGTATGAGCTAAATTGCGAAGACACCGGTGGTCGAAAGTAACTAGCCTCTTCAGGTCCGTTGCTTTAAGGGGCCAGGTTTCACAGCCGTACAGTAGGGTCGAACGTACCGCTGCATTTTACACTCTACCCTTCAGGGCAAGAGTGATGTCGCGCCGCCGCCATAAGTGGCGTAGGTTAGCAAAAGCGCCCCGAGCTATTGCTTTACGGTTCGTGATCTCATCTTCAATCCCACGGGCGCTGATAAAACCTCCCAGGTGGTAGAATTTTTGAACGACATCTAGCTGAACCCACCAAAGGTCAGCAAAGGAGGCGGTTCAGACCAATCTTGGAGGAACGCTTTGCACTTCGAGGGTGCAAAGCAAAGCTTGAAGTGACGGACAGCCACTGCTAATCTGTCCACTGCCACTTGGCACGTCTGGGAGCCGTCATATCTTAGGGCAATATCATCAGCATACGCTTAGCCAAGAAGTCGTTCTCCTGAGAGCAGATTCACACCTTCATAGTCATGTCTTGTAAACGCCATTTCCATGACTTCGTCAACAGCAAAGTGGAAGAGGAAAGGTGACAGCGGGCATCCTTGTCCCACCCCGCTGTAGATATTAAAGGGGGACGACAACTTGCCGTAAGCCCCCACTCTGCCCGAACTACGCGCATATAATGATCGACTAATATTAACGTGTTTCTCAGGTACACCTTCCCTAGTAGACAGTCCCAAAGTTCAAGTCTATCCACAGAATCTCGAACGCACCATTGCGATCGAGGAACCCGACAACAGTGGACCGCCATTATATGTGACGGTGCCCCAACAACTGACGCAAGGTGAAGCTGTGGTCAATGAAGCCACGACCTTGACGAAATCCAGCTTGCTCTTCACGAATCTGGCTTTCACGAGTGCCTGTCAGTCTGTGAAGGATAACAGAGGCAAGCAATTTGGAAACGATGGAGATCAGACTGATTCCTCTATGGCTGCCGCATTTCGAGCATGAACCTCCCTTGAAAGTTGGGACTATGACAGAGCGGCTCCAGTCGGGTGGGACAGTTTCATGCTCCCATAGTTTAACTAGCAATTCGTGTAAATTATCCCACAAGGGCAGGTCCCCCTAATTTGAGGAGGGCTGGAGGAAAGCCATCAGGTCCCGCGACTTTATTTAACTTCGACAGTCTGATCTCACGTTCGGCTTCTGAGCGAGTAGGGTGGATCCAAATGGACAGCAGCCCGCAGAGAAGGGTGATCAGATGGCCGGGCGAGAAATCTACGCATTTTGACTGATTAAATTGCCTTTCAAAGTGCTCAG